TGGTATCGCGCAAGTTTCCCTCTATCTATTTTCTGATACTTATTTCTCTCCTCTTTGTGCCATCGAAACGACGGGAAGACGAGGATGGCGGAGAGGAAGAGAACAGAAACGCGGCCAAGTCGATCTTCCCTCTCCGGAGGGAGGACGTTCAAGTGCAATGAAAAGGGAAAGACGAGAGGGAAAAAGGAAACAAACGAAAAAGATAGAGACAGGAAAGAAGTGGGGAGAGACGTATCGCTCAGTTCTTTCGCGAGAAGAGATCTTATCCAGCGCGGTTGGAAAACCGTAGAAGTAACGTCGATGCCTCGATACGCGATTGTATGCTTCGACTAAGCGAATAGCGATTGGACTGTCCAAGTGTCCAAGGTAACTGTTTAAGTTAGGATATAACAGCATTGAGAAAAGGATTAATATCGAAACTTGGTTTACAATTATAGCAAATCGAGGTCCTTTCTCTTGAAACCGTCTGGAAATATCACTCAACCGCGTAATCACTGCCCAGTGATATTACAATTTAGTGGAAAGCAAAGGAAGTAGTAGGAAAAATAGTTTTGAAAGGACCCATTACCGGGTGCTTGGATTTTATAGAAAACGGAGTAGAAACTGAATTGTATATAGGTGTACAGTCACTTGAAAATAAATCGGAACGGAAGAGGTTTAAACTTTTCTTCCGGGACGCTTACGATAAAATTTGCATTCAAACCGAGGACCATGCTTTAGCGTAGAAAACGCCAATGAAACGTATACGAAATACGCCGGGGAACAGTGCCGCGGTATTCAACGAAATTCCATTAAACTAGTTGGCGCGCGGTTCGGAAAACCGAAGGAACACTCGCTAAGAGGGAAATGAGAAAGCGAGGGGGAAAAAAACGAGGGATCACAAGAGAAAGAAAAAAAACAGGATGAGTGGTAGGCAAAACGTCAGCTTTCGTTGCCGGTAGGTTTATTATAAACGGCCTCGTTTTTCTCATTTCGCAACACGGTCAAGTGGAGCATCGCGTGGCGTAAAATAATTTGCGCCTTTACGCCAAGGGACGACTGTGCTCGCCGAACCGACGTTCTTTCGAACGGAAACGCTCGCCGGAGGAGCACAGTTTTCGCGCACCGTGCGCAGGTATTTACGGAATCGGTCCTCGAGACGCGTCTCCGTCGACGGCTAAATTCTATTTCGTTACGTGTTATTGCAAATTCGAAGACGGGATATGAAAAAAGTTTGACGATCGACCGGCCAAAAATGAAAATGTTTCCGCGGGTCGTCGAAGCGTCGCGCATTTTTACCATACGGAAATTAGATATTCAAATCATTTTCAAAAAGTATTATATTTTGTTTATTCTCGATTGACAAATTTGCTTGAACCCAGATTGGGAAACGTAAAAAATGCTTTTTGAATTTTTTGAAAGTTAAAAAATTCGTAAAATCAAAGGGACGATAAACGATCGAGACTCGATAATAACAGTAGGTTCTTCGAAGTGTGCCCAGAGTGTTGCGATCTGAAATGGAGGATCTTCTCGTAGGGGATCCGCAAGGAGACCAATTTTTTGCGTTCTCGGAATCTAAGAAATCCGAGTGGCCAAGAAGAAACGCGGTCGAATCGCAACATGTCGTTAACCCTATTTCGAAAGAGAGCCAGGGATCGATAGTAATGGATCGCTGATGTGCCGGTGACCGGGGAATGGATGAAAGCACGCCACTTCCGGGAACGGGGAACCGGACGAATCCTTCTCTATCCATCCCCCGAGAATAAAGAGTTCGATGGAAGTCGTTGCTCACTTGCCACGTACTTACGCAGAAGTCGCAAAAAACGAATCGAACTTGTTGCTACAGTTTGAAAAATATGAGAGAAACAAAATGAATCGAAAACAACGAGACGAAAAATAATCTCGATTGACGTCGTTCCGAATAAATTCCTCTCGACGTGACATCAACGAAATGGAACCTTTTTGTCCAGTGTCCATCCTTCGACGTTGTTTGGGTCTCTTTTTTTCAAAATTGTTTACGTTCCCGCTCTGCAGTTCCTTTTAAAAATATCATTTATCTGTTGCTCCAAATCAGTTAAAGCTACGTTCTTAGCCACGAGAAGCCGGATTTACATATTTGTACAGTTATTCAGGCACTCTATAAATAATGCATGGGGCGCTTGCATTGCAATGCGTACGGTTGATCAACGAATCAGATTGACGTCTTTATATAGGCGTTCATAGCGATGGTATTCTTTTCTGGCACGAAAGTCAGTCGTTGCATTTAGCATCGATCGTTCGGGATTAAGAAAGTTGCAACGTAACGAGAACAAGTAGAATAAAGTGATTTTAAATGAACCTGTACACCGTTGATTGGAGAATGCTTTTCCCTGGAAGAAAAGCATTACTGTTTTACTTCTCGATACCGTGTAGAGCGAGAAAACACGGTAAGTGGTTATTGATTTTAACAAAAATCGTTTCAGGTAAGTAAGTGCTGCATAATTTATACGCGACTACATAAAACCTTACTCAAATTATTTTTTTACCGTTTTTATGATTCTCAGCCATTATGCTGATCTTTAAGATTTTTATAAAATGTAGCTATGCAAAATATGAGTAGTGAGCAAAATCTTCAAAGGAAATATCTCTCCAACAAAATTTATGCAAGATACTTGCTCCAGTCTAAAACATCGTTTCCTTCTTGACTTTACTACAATTACTCTGTATTGAGAATGTATTACAGGTTCAGCAAAATTTCATCTTAAACATATAAACAATATTATCAAAGAATACGAAGTCTCTATTAAGTTACGTCGCACCCCGCGATTTCCAGACAATCGTAAATTTAATGTTGCAGGAGCTCGTTTTGCAAAGTCGAAAGTACCCTTTTCCCCCATCTCAGCAAAGAGCGAGGCTAACTAACAAGTCCACGACGCCAAGCCCACTTTCGATTCACGTTAATTTTTCAGTCGATCGTACGTGATCCGTACGCTCCGGTTTCGATTGTGTTGCAACAAACAGAAACGGAATGCAAGTTGGTGGAAACTTCGCGGATCCTTTCTGCTTTGTTCGGAAACCGATTCGAGACTCTGCCCAGCCACTTGCCCCGTAGTTTTCCATTCCGCGTGTTCGAGAACACCCAGACGTCGGAATAATCCTCGAGGCACGCGCGTACGTACGTTACTGAGCATCGCGCCGCGAATATATACGACGGGGGAACGAACCGGAGGACGCCGCGAAGCCTCGATAAGTTTCTAGACGTACTCAATTAAAAGTTCAAGCCGCTCGAACGAAGCGGCGCGGGCCAGAATCCGTTCTGTCTTCATTTTTTCTCGAGTGGGATCTACGTCGATCACAGGCAATGGCACGATCCGCTGGCATTTCATTATCGCCTCGATTACACGAGTGCTCCTGGTTACTGCCAGGCAATTTCACTCGACCCTTTCGCGATTCAACTGCCGCGACGCAAACCCAACCTCCTGCCTCGAACACCTCGTAGGATCGCATATCCATTTTCTTCGTTTAACCTCTGTCTACCTCTTTCTTCCGGCGATTTAGCGCCACGGTTTGTTTCCACCGATTACGCCCAACGGATTTCGATCGTTCGCGGCGCCGACGTTCTTCCTTCCTGGTATGCTTTTTGGCAATCGCTTCGCGCTCGACGATGTCTCACGCAATAAAGAGCAATCTACTTGTTTAGCGTCACCGTTCATAACTGTCGCAATGGAAAGCATGGCGCATATTGCGTACACCATGATGACCTTCTCACTGGGAGTCTCTTCGGGGAATAGATAAATGAATAGAAACGGTAATCGTGACCGAGCTGGGCGGCAATTTTACGAGCTGGAGACGTTCTTTGTCGCGAAATTATGGGACGAATCGAAGCGTACGAAACTGCTGATGTTAAAGGAAACGGAAGGGTCGTGCGGCACCTTGCCATCTGAGACGTTGCTCTTCAGATACTGCTCTGAATAGAATCGAATGATATAAAAATTCTGCACTAGTTAAAATTTAAATGTTCTACATATTCCATAGAAGTCATTTAACGCAGTCTTGGATCGCAAAACGGTGAAAAGACTCGTCAATTTCCTTTGAAATAAGGAATTCACCCGCGTAAACTTGTTCCATCGTTTCGAGACACCTTATATAATCGACTTTAAGGAAAGATATACACGACCTCGATAAAATATTGTCACAGCGAAGCAAGTCGACAAGTTTACAGATTAACGAACAGAAACCTCACTAATTCTTCAATTTAAGTCGGCTACTATTTAATTGGAACATTAATATAGGCACCGATTAAAATGGATTCTATGTGCCGACAATTTTTGTCGAGCGTCGCTTCAATATGCAGCGATAGTGAAACGATTAATAAAACAATCGCGTCGCGAGGAGTGGCCAAAATGTATAAATAACAGTTGAATCGTTTAATTCAAGTACGAAAGCAATCAAAGTTTCCATTTAAGCGGGCAAAGTTTACTTCGATACACTGAGTCTCGGTTAATAACAAAATCGTATTAACGTTCTTCCACGCCTCCGTTGGAAACTCTGCATTTACGAGTAATATTTTGCTCCTTTAAGTCGACTGAATTCGTTCTTACGGAAGCCTTAAAAAGATCCAAAAGGTAAATAACGAATCCATATCGTGGAAGTAAAATGAACTAGTGAAGATTTCCAGTATGACGTCGTCCATTGTCATTAAACTCCGCGTAGAATCGATTATTCTTGAAAAGTCGCATGCTGTGTTCGAATAATGGTTTCTATTTCGAACTGTGAAAGTTCAGAGGTCGTGTACCGATCGCATAAGACGAACGTCTCGATCGAACCAATCTCCTTTTGTTAATATCTTTTATTATTCGAATATATTTTTACGAAATCGCGTTGCACCGATAGCGTTTCTTTCTTAACGCCGATACAACGTTTCTATTCATTTACCATTACGATGCGGGTACACATACGTTCGCGAGCACGTACGCTTACATACGACAGGCATGCTTCACCACTGGTCTACATCGAATAAGGAGAATTTTCTGCTGACTTACCGAAAGGAAGCTCCAAACGGCAGTCTATGAAAAGAGTGTGCCCGGTTGGCTTTTTTGTGCCGATGATTTCGGCACCTTTCATTTCGAGCTCCGAATCGAGACTGACCCATTGTCCGGGACCCTCCTGAAAAGAAAATCAGAACACCAAATATTAGTAACAAGATATCCCAAGCGAAGCGCCGCCCCATTACGGAATAATTGAACAGATTAAACACAAAGAGATGCAAATGCGCGTAATCAAGCTCCGCGGGAACTCAATTTCAACTTATTGTGTCCCATAAAATCTCGAATATAATTCTGCTTCGTGAACGTCTGTAGCTACCCAGCCGTTCAAAAGATTCTGGGGTACGCTTGTACGTCGTGCACTTCGAAAACGAACCGACTTATTAACACCTCTCGACGTACGATTTAATTACAATCTTTCGAACGTATACCATTCCGATTGTGTTGTAAATTAATTCCAGCGTGCTCGTGATTTTAGATTTCAAGAATTTATACTTGACTATACTGCAGGAACTTGCGTATGTATCCGGGGCGTTAAATCGTCGACCGTTTCTCTCTAAAATCACCGATGCACGTTAACGCGATTAATGCAATACAAGACGTGAATATAATATACAAGTGCTCGTTAGCGCGCGAGAGATTCGAGCACGTTCAGTTCCGTTAATGTTCCATCTAAATTCTAATCCTCATACGGACTAGCGGATCGGTATGTGGCTCGATGGCGAGCGCCGGGATATCAATCGATAGGGAAACAGTATCTTACTTCGCTTAAATAACACTATGAATAAATGAATAGGATTGATAACACTCGACGGTGTCGCGTCGCTGGACACGCGATTATTCCTCGACCGCGGAATATAATTCGAAACAATGTCTCACGAAGCGATGAGACCGCTCCAATGACACGCTCATTAATATCAGTACGGACGCTGCGTTGAGGGATCAAACAAGTTACGGCCATAGAATGGCAACAAAATTTTGGTACAAAAAAACATTTGTGAAAACCAAGAAATAGATTGAATATTCAACGAGAAGGGCTCCATTGAAACAATTTTTGATGTTCTCGCGCGAAAAAAATTGTGCATGCTTCTCAAATACATGGAACGTTATTCGATTCGAAAGCGTAATTTTTTTAATTGAAAAGGACGCATAAAGATTGACCTCCAGACTGAAACAACCTCTCAAATGTGAATATATAGTACGAAAAGGGGTCGTTTGGGCTCGAACTGCGTACTCGTCGGCGTTCAAGTGGATGCAATTATTAGATACGAGCCCAGAGGGGTAATTTACGTAACTGAAAGTTACTTCGTCGAAACCATTCTTTGCGCGATATATATTGGATTAATGCCGGGGCCGTGGAAGCAACGGCGCGGACTAGTAATGGCTATGTACCCGGGGGTACGGGCACGTAACGCGTGTACATAAATTCTGGAAAGGTCTCTCTTCGTGCTACCCGGTGCTCTCCAGAAATGAGCTGCGAAGCACGGCTATCAAAGTACGCGCACGGCTGTTTGCAAATGGCAGGTCCGTAATTAAAGCAATTCTCTTTTATTCGCAGATGCCGCCGACGACGACGCCGACGCCGACGCCGTTTGCGACTTACAACTGGAACGTCGTATTTCTTCCACGGGCACGCCGAGCTAGGACTTAACGGCGTTTCGTCTTAATTATTTGTAACGAGATCACGTTGACAAATTAGCTCCCTGCACGGGGCGGACCGATCGAAACGAACCGCGAGGGTTCGTGACATGCGACGAGATACGCCACCTCCACCTACACCGAATGCTCCTAACTCGCTGGCATCCCTTGATTGGGCCAAATTGTCCGTTCCGTCGTCGAAATTGAATCTCGCGATAAATTCGTCTTGCAACGAGACTTTCCAGCGTGTTGTTAAAATAATTCGTTGCGATGGGTATTTTAATGACAACGATGGATATATTTATTCATCCCTTTTAGCTTCAATGGTATTTTGACCAACTTCTACATACGTGTTTCTCGATATTATATATTGTATAGAATCTTGTGATATAATAAAAAGGCGAAAGATAATGATGGTTACAATCGAAAGTAGCGACACTGATATATCTAACAAATTATTAAGAAAATCAATCTTTTCTTGTTCTATGCCTTTCCTGCCGTACGAGAAACTATCATTATTCTTAAAATACTTGCTCCGTAAGGTCATTCTACAAAGATAAATATGGACAACATAGGTACACTCAAGGGCTGTATCACCTTTAGTCTTTAACGTAACGGCGCGTGGCTCAGGCTTTCCAGAGCTTAAGATGAGCTTTAGAAGAATAAACGAAAAATTGGAAAATCTGGACACGTACGAGCGACAAATTGTTCTAACAGTTTTGTCGTGAAAATATCGAAAACAGTATATTTTTGTACGATCTTTGCCAATTTCTTCCAAGATTAAACCGGGTAATAATAATTGAGGGTAGGTATTCTGTCTCGTTCGCATTTCATTTGCTATTTCAAACCTATTTTTAGATTCTTGATACCGTACTTGCCCAGAAAGTGCCACATGTTTTACTGCCGCAGTGCACAGGTGGCCAAAACGGGGCATCCTGAAAGGTTGGATACGGTGCAGAGAATCTCGAAATTGGACTCACGAGAACCGTCGCGAAGTCGATCAAGACAATAATATATAAAAGCAAGACGAAAGTAAAGAGAATAAAACATACAAAGACTGTTTACGTTAAAAATTCCGACTGTACGACCTCTTTAATATTCCTTAAAAAACCAAGCCTTCCTCGTACATTCTACCGCTACTGGGAAATATTGTAATAATATTCACAATTCTGAGAACTAATATTGAAATAACGCGACCCCGTGCTTTCAGAACATGATAACAAAATGCATAAGTCTCGCTCCAATTAGCAGTCGAACTTTTGCGCGGCGATGTTAATATGTCAACAATAATAACAGATTTATTCGACCAACGAGGCTGGGCGACGATGATTCCCGTCGAGGATAGAAGTTTAATTCGTATCTACGTGTTTCCACCAATATCAATTCCATTCATGCATAAAGAGCAAGTTTGAATCAAAGTTTCATGCAAATGTTTCCACAGCGTCCGCGTTTCGCGCCTGGAAACACGGCTGCCGGCATTGATACCGTATTGACGCGTTTATGGTTGCGGTCGCACGGTGCACACTGTCCTCCGCGAATTCGTTGCGCGGCAACTAAGATCACCGACGTCGCGTTATTGGTACAAACATAATGAAAGCACGGGAAACGTAAATCCAGTCCAATTGGATTACTAGGATGCCACTTCCCATTTACCGCGCTGCCTCTGCAAGTAAAGATACCTGCATGCACCTGTTGTATCTACCCGGAATGCATTCTCCCGCTGTTGATTTTCGACCGACATACACGCGATATTCTCATGAGGTTGCTGTGATTAGTTGGCCCCGAATCCGAGTCGGCCACCAACCCGCTAAGTGCATTCGTAATTCGGCACGGAGGTGAAAGAATCCTGGAAGAGTTGCCAAGTCGTATGAAAATAAATCTTCTGTTTTGAGAATTTACAATTTCATTGATATTTCGTACTAATTTCTGCACAAACTAATATTGAAAATATAAACTTCGTCTCTGAAATACCTATTATAATTATATATTAAACCTCCTACCAAGAAGGAATAACGTATTTATGTTCATTCTACAACTCACGGTTCAGACCATAATAGATTTTACGCTCGCCTCGAACACCACGACTTTCATAAACCCATAATGCACATTTTATGCACTGGGGTAAGTTTTCTATACGCGCCTCTTTATTAAAAGAAACGAAGACGGAACCTTTATAGTCATTCTAATACAAACATAAAAGAATAACCTGATTCTGTAAAAACATAAACCCGCGCCTATGTTTAGAGAGATTGTTTTCATTGCAGAAAACAGATATGTAGGAGACGAGAGTAATTCGTATCGTGCGTTCTTCGTATCTATTGCATTGAACAGCTGAGTGAACTGAATGTGTGGACTCTCATTGAATGATTGAATAATTGAATGTATGAGTGCGATGGCCATAGTGACGGTATGTTTACAAATGTAAGGAACATTCCGGAAACGACACCGGATGTGGAACTGACAGGGATTAAATGCGTAACGTCAAGAATGTTCTGGAATGATTGAATTACATGAATGTGTCGATCGTGAATGATTGCATGATTGGACGTATGAGTGTGTGTACGATAGTAACGAGTTATTGATATGAATGTTCGAGAACGGGTGAACATAAGCACGCGTCCGGGAGACGAGCGAGATCTTTTTGCGAAGTCTGTAACGAGGAACGCACGATACGAAACGATTACGAAAAGTTATAAGTTATATGTTAAGTTACGGTGTGTTTCTTGTATTTGGTTCTGTTATATGTGTGGGATTTATATAAAAGATGTTTATTTAATATTGCTTATGGCTAGGAACTAATTAAAAGAAACTATTCGAATTATTTCCACGCTTAACTTGATACAACTTAATACAACCTATAACGATTTGCTACGGCAACTTTTGTCAACTCAATCTCCTTTTTCCGGACGAAACATCCCTTTTTAATGTTTTCTCCCGCCCCACCCACTCAGGCTTCTTTTGGGCTCGTACATGACCAAATATGGTCATGTTAGCCTTCGCCTTGCGCTTCGTACCCCCCTGTTCGAGAGGACTGGGCCCGCTGAACTATGGGTTTTTCCAATCCCATTCTGCCTACAAGTTGCTTTTCTCTAGATAGTTCTCATTCCGCGCAAGTTCCTTACGTTTCCGATACCACATATGTTTATTCGTGTTCTTGTTCGTGCATATCTAATAAAAGATTAGATTCTTACATTTCTAATCCTACAGATATGTCCGTAAAATTACGAAATTCGAAATTTGATATTCACGAGCACTACATGGATTAACGCGAGCAATTTTCGCGTGTCGAATATGAATCAAATCGTTGGTATGCAATGGCAATTAGCCGTCGGCGTCGGGCTAACGTTGGAACGTTAACAAATCATTAAAATTAACCGCAATCGGCGCGCGGTCGTTATCAAATCAAATGGATCGTTATGCGTGATTACGAAACCGTAAAAAATTCAATGGATCGCAGCATCGGAATGGGTGACGCTGTAAAAC